AAAATTTGTGTAATTTTTTTTTTAGAAATAAAACGTTATTACTAACAGAATAAAGATTTGCTATATGTACCAGAAGCATGTATTTTAATAACGCCCAAAATATATTTTGCTATTTAAATAATCTATTCTCCTTTAACTTATGTTAATTCGTACTTATAAAAAAATAGTTTTTCCTTTACTGTGAAGAAGTGTATTATGCATTTCCTCCTCGATTATTTAAATTGGATTATTACGAAAGTATTCTTTTTGAAATAATGTAGAATCTCAGGATAAACTATTGTCGCTGAGGGAACTATTAAACTTGACCTTCCGATATGAATTGCAACGACGACATATCCGTCCGGTTTGTTATGAATAGAAGAGAATAAGCGAATGAAAGAGATTATTCATTTTTATTAATTTATTTTTTATATTGTATCTTTCATATAGAAAGCAGCTGTGATAAGGAGATAATGAATCCTGGTTAAAATAATCTATCAAATTCTATTTCTTAATCATTTTATTTTTCTGTGATTACTCACTACGATACACATAAACAGCTAGACTGACTGAATTATGCTTAATACTTGATCATCATGTAAAAATTTTAACTGATCTTTGTAATTAGGGGCACTAACGGGGCACATACTTATGTAGAATAATGCAACATCCGGCCACCCTTGACATTTTTAACAATGAACTCACGAATATTCATTGAGAACAGTGGATACACAGTTCAGCATATTCATTGTGATGCAATGATCAGTATTGTCCTTTTGTAGAAGGATACGTTTCCTCCGACTGATCATTAGAATTTTAACTGCGGGAATATCAATTGTTAGATCCATAAAATCATTAATTACGTCACATTTCTTCACTTTCTACTTTGTGATTATATTTATAAAATTGTCTCACCACATGAATAATTAATTCTTCTACTGGTTAGTTAAAATATTTTATAATACAATTAACATAAAATGTATTGACGTGTATGATTCATAAAAAGTACGCGGCGTAATATAAATGGAGAATATATTCAATATATCTCGATACACATATTTTTCCAGTGACAGACATATTATAATCGCCTAAAGTTCTTAATAAATTCTAATTTAATAAAAATATTCAATTTTTTTATTTCTAACAATGCACATCCCTCATCGATCCTACACCTCTTCTCTTCATCCTTTATTTTCACTAATTCTTGCACAATCATCGCTTATAAATTAAAAACAAACTTCGGCGACAATAATGCGCATGCAAATTCTACAACATTTAACTGATAATATATACTTTAGAGCGGCTTATTTTTCGCGGAAAGTAAGTTAAAAGAGGATAGACGATCGACCGCCATTATGGAACACTTTGAGCGACGAAATTGAATCGATCAGAATTTTCAAAGGTCATTTCGACTGACCATCATTATGCAGATCAGTTACAGGAATATTCAGGAAAGAAATGGAGGAGTATCACATCGAGGAGGGGAAAACCATTATTATAAGAGGCCCTTCATCGTTTCCCCAGTTCTCAATTGCGTTAATTGTCTCAGTGCCGATCGTGGTGATACAAATTTAATTACTCTAAGGCACTGAGCTAAATTATTATACCCTAAAACTAGTAATTAAAACGAACTTGAAGGAAAGTACATTTGAAAAAAAAGGGAGCAAAAATGTCTTGCAACGAGAAAGTGAATCCATTGAAGGTGAACTACGCAATGACAGAACCTGGGGAGGAAGTTGTGATCACTGGACTATCTGGAAGGTTTCCTGCAAGTGACAACGTGATACAGTTGAAGAATAACTTGATGAACAAGGTGGACCTTATTACGGAGAATTACTCAAGATGGAGGCTAGGTAACTCAACTTAAATTCGGGAGTTATTCGAAGACAGAAATGAATTATTGTTATATTTAAATGAAAATATATACAAATAATTAAATAACTAATCTAAAAAATGTCATAATTAAAGTGACGAATTTCAATCGAATAATGCCAACAGTAAAATTGATCGAAAAATTCTATAATACAGATCACGCTGAAATCCCAAAGGATGGCGGAAAACTGAACGGTTTGTCCAAGTTTGACGCGATATTCTTCGGTGTCCACTACAAACAAGCTCACACGTTGGATCCTATGTGTCGATTGTTGCTGGAACACTCTTATGAGGCACTCCTCGATGCAGGAATTAATCCTAGGCAGATACGGGGGAGCAATACCGGGGTTGTGATAGGATCTTGTATTAGTGAGTCAGAGAAGACTTGGTTCTACGAGAAGTTGCAAGTAAACGTCAACGATATCACTCTTGACTCTTTAATTATTAGGTGTACAATAATTAATTTGATGCCTTTTCTCACAAAATCTTGACAACTTACATTTCTTCAGAGAAGAAATTCATCATTTAACCGATAAATGGAAAAAGGTCGTCCAAAATAACGGAGGATACTTTGAACATTAAAATTGTTTGATTTTTTTGTAAATAAACATTGTAAATTAATTTGTACACCTAATACATCAATCGTGAACTTCTAACACTTCTTCCAAATCTATTTTCAGGCTAATGGCTTTGGTATCACTGGATGCAGCAGAGCTATGTTAGCCAATAGGATCTCCTATTTTTTCGGTCTACATGGACCATCTTACGCGATTGACACTGCTTGCAGTTCAAGTTTGGTCGCGTTGGATCAAGCTTACAGGATGATACGAACTGGAATATGCGATACAGTAATCGTCGGTGGCTCGAATCTCTGTCTTCATCCTTACGTGTCTCTTCAGTTTGCTCGACTAGGTAATTTTTAACAATTCCGACAAAAATCTATCAGCCTTCACTCATGATCTTTTCGATAACCAGGTGTATTATCCACGGATTGTCGCTGTAAGTCTTTCGACGCCAGAGCAAATGGCTACGTTCGTAGCGAAGCAGTAAGCGTGATCGTGTTGCAAAAAGCGAAAAATGCAAAAAGGATCTATGCTCAAGTGGTCTACACGAAGAGCAACTGTGACGGTTACAAGGAGCAGGGTATCACTTTCCCATCCAGTGAAATTCAGAAGATGCTTTTAACTGACTTCTACAAGGAGTGCAATATCTCACCTAACTCTCTAGCTTTCTTGGAGGCTCATGGTACTGGTACCAGTGTTGGAGATCCTGAGGAATTAAATGCTATAGAGAAGGTGTTCTGCCAGGGCAGAAGTACTCCTCTTAAGATTGGTTCTATTAAGTCCAACATAGGGCATACTGAGCCTGCCAGTGGTCTCTGTTCTATAGCAAAGGTATGCTTTTAATTTTCAGTAAAATTAAGCACAAAAATGTTTCAAAAATTGTTTAAAGTTAGCAAGGATAGATCAGGATAGAGGATCTAAATTTTTGAAAGACTAAGATAGAAAGAGAATATTTTTCTTTAGATCATCATTGCAATGGAGTCAGGTCTCATTCCTCCAAACATACACTTCAAAAGTCCCATGAAAGGCATAAAATGTTTTGATGAGGGAAAGGTTGAAGTAGTCGTAGAACCAACTCCATGGAAGGGTGGTTATGTGGGAATAAATTCATTTGGTTTTGGTGGTGCCAATGTTCATGTCTTGTTAAAATCCTGTACTAAAGAGAAAGTGAACAATGGAGCACCTTCTGATAATCTTCCTAGATTGGTAGCAGTCTCTGGTCGCACACACGAGGCGCTAGAAACTCTTCTAGGCTATGTGAGTAAATTCTAGCCACTGTCTATGAAATTGAAGAAGATTGTAAGGATAAATAATTTTTTCAGATGGAAAGTATTCCAGTGGACGTGGAGTACATTCGACTTTTTCATGACATTTATGCAGAGAATGTAACTGGTCACATGTTCAGAGGGTACACTATAGTTGGATCTAAAATATCAGAGAAACCGCCAAGGGAGATTCAAGAGTATTCTGGCATGAAGAGACCAATTTGGTTCGTATTCTCTGGAATGGGATCCCAATGGGCTGGCATGGGTACATATAGAAATCTTAACATGAAAATTCCTTAAGAATTTACAAGATTGAAAGCGAAAATTAACTCGAATATTATCTTGGAATTTAATAGGTGAGGCATTGATGATGTTCCCTATCTTCGTGAAAGCCATTCAAAAATGTGACGCAGTCTTGAAACCACATGGCCTTAACATCGTCGATATCATCACTAACAAGGATAAAAAAACTTTCGATAATATTGTGAATTCCTTCGTTGGAATTGCTGCTATTCAGGTAAAGTACCTTTAAATCTTCGAAAGATAATTCTTCTCTAATTTATATCAACATTGTTATAATATTCACATAGATTGGACTTGTTGATCTGTTAACAACCGTGGGCATCGAACCAGACAATATCATTGGTCACTCTGTTGGAGAACTTGGATGTGCCTATGCTGATGGATGCTTCACTGCTGAGCAAATGGTACTTGCAGCTTATTCCAGGGGTCTAGCTTCCATAGAGACCAAAATGATTAAGGGATCTATGGCTGCAGTTGGTCTTGGTTATGAGGAGATCAAAGACTTGTGTCCACCGGATATCGAAGTAGCTTGCCATAATGGTCCTAATAGCACTACCATAAGTGGTCCTGCTGAGTCTGTGAAGGAGTTTATCACCAAGTTGCAGGTTCGTCTTATTTCTCAGGGTTTCCAATTTTTAATTGCATAATCATTTTAATCTTCGCTCTCTAATTACATTAGGCCAACAAAATCTTCGCCAAAGAAGTTCCATGCAGCAATATCGCCTACCACAGTCGCTATATTGCACAAGCAGGTCCAAAACTACTAGCAAACTTGAAGAAAGTGATACCAAATCCAAAACCACGAAGTTCCAAGTGGCTGAGCACCTCAGTGCCTCGTAATCAGTGGAACACCCCAGCTGCAAAGTATTCCTCCGCTGAATATCACACGAATAATCTGTTAAACTCTGTATTATTCTCTGAAACGGCTACGATGATCCCAGCAGACGCGATAACAATAGAAATCGCGCCTCATGGTCTCCTACAGGCGATCCTGAAAAGATCCTTGGATCAGAATGTGACGAATGTACCATTAACTCAACGTGGTCACAAAGATAACGCTGAATACTTCTTGCAAGCACTTGGAAAATTGTATAACATTGGCTTGCAACCTCAGCTCGCGAATCTTTATCCTCACGTAGAATATCCTGTTAGCCGTGGCACTCCCATGATCTCTCCTCATATTAGGTGACTTATCAGGATGATTAAAATAAAATTATG